AGTCTGGAAATACTTTAGGCTATAGCTAATTATTTCTCGGACCCCCTATCACTTTAAGAACCACTGGTCTACACAGAAGAAAGACCTGTCTAGACTCTGCCCCGGTACGAGTTGTGTCGAGCTATTCATTAGTCTGTTTGATGAGAAAAATATGAAATTTATAAAATGGGTTATTAATCTATACAACTGCAGCAGCGGAGGACTATTATTCTGCTGCGTGATACTGCAGAAGAACTGATGACGGCACGGTTTGATCTTCGGCTGACCAATCAGCAGAAAGGGGCGTTTAATTCCCGCCCACGTGTAGAAATCAAATATTCAAGTTGTTTATTCATTTTTCCACCCATGAACGAAAACAGAAAATTTAAGCTGCATTCTCGTTTTTTGGAAAAAAACGAAAAAGGAGCCGTTTTCTCATTTTTCTACTTTCAATATTAAATCAAAAAATGAGTGATCGAATGATACACGGATTCATTTCCTTAAATCAGCCCTTTCGATTAGTTCCCTTAAAAAAAAAAAAAAAAACATTCAGGGGATCTATGAACGCAAGCTTACAGGGGTGGGCTTGAAGTGATCTAAACGACTGGAGAAGTCCTGCATATGTCACCAGAGAGAAGACTGTCTGTCATTTCCACCAGAAGATCAAGTTGTTGTTCTTTTATGTATCTACGGTTGGTTGGTACTCTGTTATACTGTACATTTGTTTGTTGATTTATTAATAATAATAATAAATAACAGAACACACCAAACTGTGTATTTTGACATTACAAGATAAAAATTTGACATATGCACATATAAATTGTTCGCAATAAGATCTATAACATGCATTTATAAAACAGATACAGTGAATTTTCATTTCATGCCGACTTAAGTTTAATTAATAAGGGTTTTCACTGCAAGTGTCCTAGTTCAGAATACTGCAAACCTGTTATGCAATCAAGTCATAAGCAGCCTTCGTTCATTAAGAAATGGACTTGCTCTGTTCGTGATCTGCTGACCCGGATCCCTGCGAGTTGGACATGTCCAAAAAATGCTCGGTTCAGACCAATTCGTGAATAAATGGTTCCGTCTGATTCGTGGATAACCGATTCAGTACAAAGATCCGATCGAAGACGTTCACAAATCGGACACCGCAAAACAGCTGCAGAATCAGAAGTTGTGCATATATCTGAAGCTTCCGTTTGAAGTCCTGAAGAAGACAAACACTGTTCAGTTACAGTGTTTCAGCTTCGTGTGTAGCATGTTGCAAACTCGGTCTAACGTTAAATGCAACAGCAATGCGGAAAGTTCCTCAAAATATCAAAAATATAGACAAAACAACAATTTCAACGGCGTCTAAAAGTAAACAAGCTCCGTTTGACAAGCTCGCGGTCTCTACCGACACAACATGCTTTAGCGGGCGGTAATTCTGGCCGTTAACAGCAGAAAACACAGACGAATTCAAAAGCAGAGTAGTATTAAAGTGTCCTCGGTAGGTTAACGACAATACTGGGTTATTTATGCGGGTTTAGGTGAGCTAAGCTAACTGGCTAACCAGCGAAGTGTCACTAGTCTATAAGCGCGCTAAGCTGCCTCGCGCGAGCTAGCAACTGACACGAACGCCAAGCTACAGTCGCTTCATCAAATCACTAAGTTACCCGGATCAAAAAAAGTTCCCAACTGGTACGCAATTATGAAGAAAACCAGTTCATGCATGCGTTACGTCACACTTAATAGCGTATGGACCTATATGCACTTTTGGCAACACCAACCGAAACCAGGCCCTGAAATGCACACGCAATACTTCGCCTACACCAGCGGGTCATGAACTCATAAACACAGTTGTACAAGTGGGAGCATAAGGCGAAGACAAACTAAACAAACGCCCAAGAAGACTTCGGTTTTACCGTTTTGGCGGCCTCTGCCCACGTCCTCCCCTTTTTCTTCTTCTGTCTTTCCCTCATGTCTACTGTCGGTCGCCAAAAATCGACCTGCTGAGTGCTGTAGAAAGTGTTGCTTTAGTTACCGTGCAAGACCTGCCATCTCTGCCATACTGGGTTTTTACTGTAAGAGACGAATCATGTGACCCTCTGGGAAACGTCATCTTACTGTACGATGACAGTTCATGGGAAACCACCTACCGGGCTCTCTGGCCGTTGTTTTCATTTGTATAAACGTTTCAAACTCCAAAACAGACACACACGCTTACACATAGTATCCATTTTAAGCGTGTATACGGGTCAAATTACATGCATTTAGCAGAGGCTATATCATTATGGACTTGCAACAACAAGAGCTTTGCTTTCACGTTAGATTGCAGTGGTCAATTGATGGTAAATATATATCCATAATAAGCAGTGTTGGGGGTAATATATTACAAGTAACGCAAGTTACGTAATCAGATTACTTTTTTCAAGTAACTAGTAAAGTAACGCATTACTTTTACAAGAGAATATCTGAGTTACTTTTTCAGATAAGTAATGCAAGTTACTTTTTTTCCAATTTATTGATTGACAGCTCTGGTGTTGCCATGTTGAGAGAAATCAGATGTTACTGTAGTTCAAAATAAATATGAATATGCATTAATTCAAGTCACAGATTCCGTATTCCTCAAAATGAATACAAATAATGCAACTCAGAATATGACGCAAACCTGCAATAATTAAATGTTAAACAACACAAATATGCTTTATGTATTTAATCCCATTCTATTAACCAATGTCTTTGCTTCTGACCTTCGATGATCCAGTTCAACCATACTAATCAGCACAAATTACTC